TGGTATTATTTCCTATTTAAAAATGAAATAAAGCAAATTTTGCCTTATTGCACCCTCCCAATGCATCACCAGAAAGTTTCTTTTCTCAAATATTTCTTTAAGATCATGGTAACTGAATTGATTTTTTATATGTAGTAGAAATTGAGTTAAATTGGTTTCAATGATCGGAGGAGTAAATTTAAGTAAATAAGGTATTAAAGAGGTGAATAGTACCTTTTCACTTTGATACTATTTCTCTAGGTTGATATTCTTAACAACTTAATTTATATATCGTCGCACAGTGGTCCAATGTGCAAAGCTGGGGTATTTTAATTGAATTTTTTGTGTGTAATTTTTCAATAAAATTTTTATCAAATATGCAAGAATATTGTCTACTTAAGAGTAAATACATCTTTGTTTGAAAAAATTTGGCTACATACAAACATAACGGTATCCAAAACTCATAGTAAGCCATAAGTGAACAATGAAATTGTGCGTGCAACGAAAACTGAGTATTTTTAATGCTCAATAACTTGTTTAAAGAAACTTTGTTTTAACTTCATTTCTTTCTCCGTCATTGTTTTAAGTAAGAAAATTCAGGAAATGTAAAAATTATTACCGAAGTGGACGCACATATTTTTTTGGAGCTGATAAAATTTTCATCTTTTTGGTGAGTACCAAATTATTATTTTTTTTTGTTTTTGTAGAAGAAATCTTTCTTATATGGCGGAATATAGATCACTTACTATACTTATTCTCTCAACTGATGTATATACTAATAGAATCCACAACAAAATTCTGCGGCTAGCTGCGGCACCCATACATTTATTTTCAATTTTCGAAATGACTCCTAAAATTTCAAGACAGGAAATTTTTGATTTTTGGCTGTCGACCCCTAAAAATGAAAGACTTGATGGAATAATGGATTTTGTACCAGGGAATATCAGTTTAGGATCTAGTGATAGAATCAAATTTGTTAAATTGAAATCATACGTGCGAAGTTAATTCAGAATTTGGACCTAAAGTGGACAAAAGTTTTCCAAAAAAAGAGAGCGGTTTGTTACTGCAAATAAAGATTGGCTCGAATTTGAAATAGACTTGTCACAATTTGTGTGTTCTAAGTTTGGTAAGCCGACATTTTCTGCTGGTAGGCCAGCTAAAAGTTTTGAAGATTGTTGCCAAAAAGTTAAAATGAAGAAATCTAATGAGCTTTCGAAAGTTATCGAACCAGATGTATTTCTTTTTGGCCACTGAACTAAAAATGAGATCTTCAGCTACGCTACTTAATGAGCTTTTAAGTGCTTCTCCAGAAAGAGGTACTGCTATTAAGAAGGTCATATTGGCAAAGAAAAGTCCCAAAGGTATTTCGCCTAAAGAAGCTCTCGCACTAATAACACCGGCACACAAAAAAAAATTAGTGTGGTGTGCATTTGACCGGACCTACCTATGGTTATGTATTTCGACCCGCAGAATCCGAATTTGAATTCAGTTTGGCCAATATACTTCTTAAATTGCGAGAAAACTTCAAAACTCCGTTTTTTATTGCCGATTTTCACTATTTTTGCGGTTGTTTTTTGAAGTTTTATCGAAACCCAAAACCTTGGTTGAAATATCTAATATATCTGACTCATGAACCGAAACCGAACCAAAATTTAAAGTTGGGTACACATTTTTAGAGGCTACATCGGGTGAGCAACAATTTATCAATTCGAGAAATTAATGCGCTGATGAGAGAACGAAAACTCGTATATCGAGACGATAAAGTGGCCGGTAATCTAAAGGTTAGATGAGGAAACGGCCCTAAAAGTTGTTAAGCTTGATCTGACTTTTTAGCAGTTTTTTTATTATATACATATATTAGGTGGCAGATTCCGATCCGGCGTCAATACAGTATATACATAAAGGACTTTCTATTTTTAATTCATCCCAAATAGTTAAAAAAGTTTTAGATATGCAGGTATCTATAACCGTGCGCAAGTGCTTAAAAAATTTACCAGAAATTTACGAAAAATTTAACGATTTTTTAATTATATTGTTCGTAGGCGTGGTCGCCAGCCGATCTTGCACATTTTATGAGCAGAAGTTGTTAGTCATTCAGACATAATTTGTGCAAAATTTCATCCCGATACCTACCTTAGTTCTTAGTATAATAATTAAATTACCCTAATAGAGCAGATTGGACCACTGTGCGTCGCCTGGATAAAAGATTGTCGTAAACGCCATTTTGACGACTTTCAGTTATAGATGCAGTTTCAGATTTTAAAATAAGATCTTACGATTGGTGTTATTAGTTTTTGGATATTTCCTTTATTTTAAACTAATCAAAATCTTTTAAATGGCGTTGACCATGTTTGGCTATCTCATTTAGTTTTCGAGGTTTTAAGTAAAAAGTATCGTTAATTTAGTACAAACTAGTGTTACATTTTGCCGCATGTAAAGTGGCTGCAAAATAGTTGACAAATATCGCATACGACAAAATTTGACTAAAGAAAATACTTCATAAATTCAAATATAATTTATAATAAACGATAAAAATAAAATAATTTAACAATTTCGTGAACTAGTAAAATTCTCCGAGACTTTGGAGACCATCTATCGTCGCGGTTTTGAGAAATTGCATTCCAAACTTCAATCGCGATTTCCCAAAACCCGCCGAAAGTAACATACGACAATCTTTTATCCAAGCGATGATGTGTGTAATTATAGTTTCATTGGATGCACTCCTTTCATAACTGAGTTATGTTTCTTTTTCAATTTACAGAACCGACGATTATGGGTCTAAGAATCAAATTATAACGTCCATTGCATAATAATAGTTTCCAACTGCGAAATTTTGTACGGTTATCATTATTAGAGGGCTGCTATACCTGAATTCTTGGACAACAATCATCTGATGAAAATATATTTTAGAAACATCTAAAATAGTATGCGCGGGAGGATTAGATCCAAAAGGATGGTGTGCATATATTTGCGTGTATGACTGAATGAGTTAAGGAGTACAGTATTCCCCACTTAATTGCACTTCAAAAATTGCACAATTTGGTCAATTAACCGATACATGTTTAGTTGAACAGTTTGTCTATTACAGAAGTTCCGCTAAATAAGACAATCTAATCAATTAAAAGAAAATGCATGTGTGCATTTTAAATCATGATCAAATTTAATAATATAGTTTAAACTTTAAACAAAAAAGGATAAGGAATAAAAACAATTTATATTTATTATTTTTCATACGTAAGTATTTAGACTTGTCCTCACATTTTGGGAGATAATTGTTATAAAAAAAAATAAAATAAACATAAGGAACACTTAACCGGGGGAAATTGAGGGTATATCTCTTTTCAATGCCACATGTTTTTAACCAATTATACGGGGAAACCAATTATCCGGCTTCAATTATGGGGGAAAATTAACATGGCTTTTTAGGCAACATTTTTTTTACCGATAAGGTAATTGAAATAAGCGGGAAATCAATTAACCGGGGGACAATTAAGCGGAGAATACTGTATGTTAATTGATAGGTTTCAAGTTCATATCTGTCAAAGTCATGTTATTGTTTGTACGTTATGTACTTAGCACACTTATTTATATGCTTATAGCTACTTTGTATTATCTTTTTTTCTGAAATGTTTGTATTGTATAATATGTATATATCTCTGTATTTAATATTAAATAAATTTCTCACTGCGTTAAACTTTATGAGTCGATTACGGATAGCAACGCGACCACAGTTTGGTTGCCAGATGGCAACGCAACTGAAAAGAAAATTTGTGTTACAAATAGCAACTAATACCATGTCCCCACCAAAAAGTTAACCATCTCAAATCGAACTTAACCACATCACTAACTATTGCTGTCCACACCAGTGATCGGACTTCTACCACATTGTGGTAGATCTGCCACTTTTTTGAGCATCTACCACATCTACCACACAAGGTCTGAAATCTACCTCATATTCGAGTTTTTGAGTAGTTTTAGTTAATTTTAAGAGCAAAAATTGTCTAACACTAATCACTAACAACAGGCAAAATGTGAGGATAAAATAAAGTGTAAAATAGTATATTTTTTCAATATTCAATTTTTCGACAGGAAACGTGGTTTTTTGTGTTAAATTGCAAAATATATGATTTATAAAAAGAATTAATAGCGAAAATGGTTTAAAACGGCTATTTTTGTGAAAGTGTTAGCCAATTTCAGTGCATCTAAAGTTTCTGAAGCGTTCTTTACTTTTACTTGAGAATTTTCAAAATCGGCAAATCCCAAGTAGCGGTTTCTGGAACGTGCCACATTTGTTCGCTGCATCGTGATGTGATAAAAAGGAAAGCTGGCAGCACTCCGCAAGGTTGCAGAAATCTTTCCAAATATGCTCGAAAAATATCTTGATATGGAAGGAACTGCTTTACACTTTCAAGGAAAAAAATTGCTAAAACTCGACGCAATTTTTAGCAACTTCAATCTTGCACTTTATTATACTATAATTAATCTTTTTTAGATTCTAATTAAAATGTTTGCAATTTAGGTGAAACCTTGCAGAATATTTTTAATTTTTGTACAAAGTTTGATCCAAAACCTGAGATCTACCACATTTTTTTCCAGATTCTACCACACAAATTTATTTTTAAGTACGATCACTGGTTCACACTGCGGTTTGAGGTTTATAAAACAGTACAAACGCCGACAGTGGCCATTGCGCGACCAAATGTATTTTCCCTCATTTTCGGCACTTTTCCAGCAAAATTTCGGTTATTTTACTGCCGTTTTTTTACAATGTGTATTTTGTTTTTCTTTTGTTTATTTGTTATCCTCGCACAGCTGTAATTAGGTGTCGGGGTTGCTGACCAAAAAGTGTTGATTCGAACCGCATTAGATTTCGGGTTGCCATTGAGGTATTACTCCTATTAATATTATTTAGTAGTATTAGTATTATTTTGTTATTATAAGTATTAATATTTTCTAGTTATTACTATTAGTATCTATAAGGATTATTATTATTATTGCTGTTGTTGTTATCATCAATTTTAATATTACAATGATAATTATATATATATTTTTTTGCTTTTATAATTTTCTTTTGCGCTTCATGCCATCGGCATCTTTCATTGTTTTTGTTCCTTATTTTTTCTTCATATTCTTCATCCTCTTCATCATCTTCTTCTTCTTCTTCTTCTTCTTCTTCGTCTTCTTCTTCTTCTTCTTCATCTTATTTAGGTTTCTTCAGCTAGTTTCTCCTCATTCAGGGTCTCCACTGCCATGGCAATCGCTCCCCTGCTGGCAATTGCCGAGTACACACACTTCAGTCACTGCTGAAAGTTACCTATTCGCCTCTATGCGCCGAATTAGGCTCAGACGATGCCTCGGGAGAATTTCCTCCGTCGCGTTGTTCTCATAAAGTGGTTTGAGATCACTCACGTGCGCTGCTTTCCTTTTCCCTTTGTGCACCTTGTCGAGTTCCACGATCACAGGCGAAATAAAATTTAGAACGCGATGTGGTCCGCCGTATTTCAGTGCGAGTTTTGCCGCGAAGTTGTCCACAGCTTTAGAGAGGTAGTGCACTCGCCCCAGCACCTTGTCTCCCACGGCTGGTTGCCATGACCTTCTCCGCAGGTTATAGTGCCTCGCTTGTTCTGTGGTAGCCTGCTGGTTGCGTCGTACTAGCTGGCATACCTGGGCTTGTTCGCGCTATCGTTTTTCGGATCCCCATATGGCCTGCACTGGGAACAACGTGAATTTCCCTTAACACCCTCTGCATCTGCCCTGTCGGTACGCATAATTTCCATGGCAACACGTCTTCACCGTCGATTTGGCCTGATATTCGCCTATACAGCCCACCATTTTCGATGACAAAGTCAGGAAACTTCTGTGGAGACCTCTCCACCTCCGCCATCTTGTCTTTCAGCCACTTGCACTCTACCGCTACTCCTCCCGCCGTCATCGAACCAAGCACTGTTTCCTGGGGCTGTCTTGTCAGCGCGTCTGCTACCGCATTCAGCTTACTCTTGCCCTTCCCTTCCAGCGCCCACCTTGCAATCCGACCGGATGGACTCTCTATCTTACTCAGCCATTTGAGCGCTAAGTGGTCGGTGATGACGGCAAACGTGTATCCTTCTAGTTAGGTTCTGATTTTTCTGATCGCCCACACTATGGCCCGGCACTATTTCTCCGTTGGTGAATAATTGAGTTCGTCTTTGTTGAGCCGGCAACTCGCATATGCGATCAAGCGTTCTTCTCCTTCAATCTCCTGGGTGAAAATAGCTCCCAGCCTGTAGTCGCTCGCGTCTGTTTGCAGAGTGAACTTCTGCGTAAAGTCGGGCAAGCCAACACTAGTGCCTCTATTAACGCGTTCTTCAGCGCCTCGAATGCTGTCTGTTCCTCGTCGTTCCATTTGCACTTGTGGCCCTTCTTTAGCTTTTTGATAGCCGCGATAGCAGATACTTCAACTGCTTCTTGAAAAACTCGTATTTTTCTGGGTTGATCCTCAGATTCGCCTGCCCAAGCCATCGGAAGACCTCCGAAAGATGTTGGACGTGCTCTTGCAGGGTTGCGCTGATGACAGTAATGTCTAGCTCTGGACCGATAACTTGGTCTAACGCACGCTGGAACGTCGCGGGGCGGAGTGGAGCCCAAAAGGCATTACTCGCCATTGGAAAAGGCCACGCCCTGGCACTGTAAAAGCAGTGTACTCCTTGCTCTGCTCTTTCATTGGGGTTTGCCAGTAACCGTTTTTCAGGTCAAGGCTGCTAATGTAACGCGCACTTCCTAGTCGGTCAAGCATATGTTGGATCTTCGGTAGGGGGTACGCGTCGGGCACTGAATGCTCGTTCAGCTGTCGGTAGTCGGCGCAGAGTCTCCACTGGCCGGCCTTCTTCTTCGCCAACACTATTGGGGCGCTGTGCGGGCTGTGTGAGGGTTCAATACACCCTTTCTCGATAAGGTCGTCAATCTCCGTGTTGATGATTTCCGGCATCTACGGGTTCTTCTGGCAATACGGACCCTCGCTTTTGCAGGTAATCGGTTCCAAGCACCACGTCATCCATTAAACCAGGCAATATCAAAAGATCGCTTTCATGCGCCTGATTCGCTAGCTCTACTCGTGCCGTTATAGCCTTCAGCGTGATCTCCCATCACCCATTACCACACGCGTGTTCACCTACCTACTTCTCCCACATCCAGTCTCTTAAACATGGCTTTGCTCAAGAAACTTCTTGTTACGTCTGTATCAAATGCAGCTACTATGTCGACCTCATTTACTCTGAACGCCGCCATAATTCGGCCATCCGACGGCCTAAAACACTCTTTAGTTTGGGCGAGGCTGTTTACCTGAGACCCCACTCCTCGCCGCAAATGGGACTTCGACCCATTTCCCGATGCAGTATGGCAGCACTCTCGCGTCGGGACATTGCATTTACCACAGGTCCAACAAAACTCTCTCCGTGCAGCTCTATACTCCCTTCTCCTCCGCAATGTCCACACGCAGTCCACGGATTAACGTACTCCGACTGTAGTGTTGCTACACCACTGTGTGGTTCAGGTCGGGGCTGTGTTCTCTCTGCCCTAGCCGTCTCGTCACTCCTAGGCAGCTCGCGAATGTGCTGATATCTCTCCGTAACCCGCGGAGATGTTCGTGCTGCGGCTCTCTGTGGCTCTCTCACCGGGGGGATGTTTTCCATGTCTTCCTCCAAACTCACTAGCTCTTCTAGGGTGATGAACTTGGAACTTGCTTCTAAAGTTTCTGTAGATACGAGTCAGCTTCTGCTCCGAGGTGTAGTTCGCGTGTCGCATCAGACTCTGAAGGGCCAACACATAGTCTTTAAATTTATCGTTCTGTTGTTGGACGCAACGACGGCTCTCATCGTCTAAGCTTTCGTGGTAGCGAGAGTTTAAGAGGAGCCTTAGAAAGTCTCCTTTTAAGTCCTCCCATTGTCGCCAATTCCGGTTATTACTGCGGAACCATGTCAGCGCGTTCTTAAGTAGTTCTGGCATTGCTCGCGGTAACAACTCGCGATTCACCTCGTATACTTCCGCCAATTCTTCTACACGCTCGATGAAGCTGAGTGGGTCTCGGCCGCCGTCATATTTGAAATACCACTTACAGACTTGGTCCATGATGGTTCCCAGCGATGTCATAGGATACGCTGCGTTTGACTGTGGTGTGTCAAAAGCGTCAACGGGCATTGGTGACTGCATGACACTGGCTCCCTGGCTTCCACTTTGTGTTGCTGCGGTAACACTCAGCGCAGGCTTCGAGTGCTTCGCTTCTAGCTCTTCGAACCGCGTTTGGTAATCTTCGT